TTGGAAAATAATGGTAAATTAAGAGGACTTTGAACCTTTAATGTCGTGTGATTATATTAGATGTTTATCACACATTACAGCATGTTGAATAGCACAGTTATAAGTTGAAGAAAGCATTTGTTGGGATGTCACTTACTTTCCAGGAGCAACAAAGGGAACACCCTTTTTGGAATTGGCAGGTAACTCTCCTTGTAAACCAGGTATAATCTCAGTCATTAACTGAACAATCCTATGATCCTCACTATAGCTTTCATAGCAGCGACCCCATCTTGGATCCCTGCAAACCTGTAAAATCAAACATAGAAGACAAATCACACACTTGAAAAATTGGTTAAAATTTTCTATAACATGTAACAATCAATTTGTTGTCATATTAGTACCGCGATACACGGAGCAAAGGCATAAGGGATTCCTGTAGCTCTAACTTCAAGAGCAGTTGCTTCACCAATCTTTTTGACTAGCTGAGGATCCCTGGTGGAAGCAAAGAATGTCAGAATTCTAATAAAGCCGATATCATTTAATCACTCTATAGTACTGTAATTCAAACACTAGATTTTTTCACACTTTAATCTAACAATTAATCTGCGTATTTGTTGGGTGCTAACTACAAATCAGAAGATCCTCTGTACCTATCATCAATCAGTAACATAGATTAATCTTTAAGGTGACCTTGACAGCTAACACGAGTTCTCTAAAATTAAACAAAGACAAACTTGACAAGCAGTTGAGTACAAGACAAGAATTTATAATCTTAAATAATCGGATAAAAAATGGTAAGATAACCTTGTTTGTTCAAAATTAAAGAGAAAAAAAATACTTGCCTGGTCACTCCAAGCCCAACATTGTGAGGGAAAATCGTGGCATTGTAGACATTGTTATGGCCATGAACAGCATCAATTCCATAAATCATAGGAATTCCAAGACGGGTTGATAAAGACGCCTTTTGGATCCCATTAACCAAGTTCACCCAAGCCTCTGCTGAGGCCTTTGGTCCTGGCACACTCCCTCCTCCACTCAGCACACTCCCTACATTTACAGTACAACTCATCATTCAAATATTAAATACTGGAAAATACTGTAAAGACTGTGCAGGTGAGTGAGTACCAATGAAATACTGCTTCATGACATCTGGAGTGGCAACAGTGCGCTCGATCTGCACCATTTGGCCAATCTTTTCTTCTAATGTCATTCTTTTCATCAAGTCTTTGATTCTTGCACCTACTGGCATCTTGGGGTCTTTGTATTTCAGGTATTCTGCTTCACCAGCAACTATCAAGCAGCATAATAATAGAAATCCCAAAATAGATCTTGACAGTATCCCCATTTTAGCTTCCCAAATCACCTACTCGCTTGGTATCTGCAGTTACGAGTCCCAAGTCAATTCAATATCCGAGAATCAAAGAAAGAGAAAAACAGAGAGAGAAAAGGGAAAAAAAAACACTTGAAAGCAGGAAGGAAACAGAGGAATGAATACATGAACTTCATTCTTCACACCCTCGTTAAAGAACCAAAATGAAGTAAATGAAAGAGAAACTTCAGAACTAAAACAAGTTTAAAACAAAAGAACAAGAACCAATAATGACAACAGAGCTTTCTTGAACACACATGGTGAGGTGAAATCTCAGAGGCTAACCTTGGAAGGGGGAGAGGGAGAGAGAGATAGAGGGTTTGGCTTTGGATTGCTAAAAGGCACAGTGCTCACTGCTAAGCGCTCGGGTTTGGAGTTTCAAGGAAAGCTTTGTCTACTTATAGAGAAGTTTGTGACGCTGTCTGAAACCCATCACGATCATTTTCTTTCTTGTCTAACTTTGGGTGGTTTCAATTTTCAAAATCTCACTTTAATTGGATATTTTAATTTGCAAGTAACGGACAAGATTTGAATGGAAAACTATATTTTTGACCCTGTGATTTTATTCTTGTTCCACTTTCATACCTACATTTTAAAATCTCTTCACAATATCCCTATTATTTTCAAAATGTTTCAATATTACTCCACTTTTTTCTCATATTTTTCCTTTTCTTCCTTATTTTTGTATCATTTTTTTATTCTTGGATTAGGATTGAAAAAATTCGAGTTAACTTAATTTTCTAACTCTCGATGTGGTTTAGAGAATATGTTTGAATGGGATGAAGCCCAAAAAACATTTAAATTAAAATGATTAAGAGAAAATGAAGTTTATATTTTTTTAATTTTATTTTTAACTTTTTTATGTACTTGTAAAATATCATCCATATGTTCAATGTTAAAAATTTCTAAATTATTATTTTTAATTGAAATGATAGTTAATGATGAATCTAAAGCAAATAAAAATAGAATTGAAGTAATTAAAATTAAAAAAGTTTGATCAAGTAAATTAAATAATTTAAAAACTAATTCGGCTCAATAATGAAAATTTCAATGTAAATAAAATACTAGAATCGATTATTGCTATCTACTTAATCCAAGTATTTCATTAACTTACAAATCTAAAATAAATTAAAAGTAGAACTAACCTTTAGATATAAATAGATGTCCAATAACATCAGGTAATATTAACTATTGGAACATTGATGAATTTACATGAGTAAGAGTCAAGTTTATCCAATTATAAAGCCTAATAAGCATAAAAGCACATTTTAATTTATTTTTTAAAACATCTTATACATCCCTGTAGTTCATATTAAGCTTATTTGGATACATAATTGATCGTGTATTTTTAAGAATTTTAATTTTTTATTTATTTTTTAAAGTGATGTTATCAAGTAAATTTTTTAAAAATATTTTTTAAAAATATTTATAAAAAAATTAAAAAGCAATTACTATTATAATAGCAAATATATTGGCAATGCCTAAATAAATAAAATTAAAAAAAAAAAATATTTTTTTAAAATATTTATAAAAAAATTAAAAAGCAATTACTATTATAATAGCAAATATATTGGCAATGCCTAAATAAATAAAATTAAAAAATAACTCTTAGTACTTTTTACTTGTCAACCAAAAAGATTAACTTGCCTAACATTTGAAAATGTCAAGATAAGGATGCAAGCTAGACTTTTCTGAAAAATTACAAAATAAATAAATAAATAAATAAGTTCTATCAAGGGAATGAAATATGAGTCTTGCAACTTTATGATTAAATTTTATTTATAACACTCAAATCTAGTAATCCATGTAAGTTTTTTTGATCATTAGTCATGGCAAGTAAATAAATGTTTAAAATTTAATAATAATTATTTTTAAAGTATTTTTTATTTAAAAATATATTAAAATAATAATAATAATAATAATATTTTTTAAAAATGATTTTTTATATTAATAAATTATAATGATATGAAAATACCAAAAAAAATATCAATTTGAAGTCAGGAAAAAATTTCAAGTTTTTTTAAAATATTTTTGAAACAAAAAAATGAATAAATTATTCTAGATTCTATTTTAAAAATCAAATATAAAATTATTTTTTTTAAAAAATATAGGTTTTTCTACTGACCACCCGATTTTAAGACCCAAATCAGGGGTTGAAAACAAATATTTTAAGTTATGTGACGAAACGGTTCCAAAAGAAGCATGATTGGACAACTTAGTTGCTTGTTTTATTAGGTAAACGAAATTAAAATATAGAAAGAGAGGAAGGATGCAAACCATTTGTACTTTTCAAGTCATTGATTTATCATCATCCTTACAATTACATCCCATGGGCCCAGCTGCACCCCATCACCTAGTGGCCACCTGTCTTTTAATATTTACTCTTAATAGTTTTTTACTTGAAATTAAAAATCAACAATTCAGTACTCTATATTATGTTTTTAATCACTTTTCTCCAAAATACAAGTTAATCCCACTAAATAAAACTTTTTTATATCCACAAAATCGCTAAGAGATATTAATTTAATATTTTAAAAAGTCCCCCAATTTCCTATAGAAAACTCAACTTAATAAAATACTTTGCTATGTGCACAAAATCACGAGGAAGATTTGTATATAATTTAAAAAAGCCAACCAATTTCCTTTGAAAAGGGGATGGGCAACTTCAAATAAAAAAATATTTGAAAGTGTTGTCGTTTTTAAAATATTTTTTATTTAAGAATATATTAATATTATATTTTGAATATTACTGTGTCAAAATAATCTAAAAAATATTAAAATACGAAAATAACCAGCGACGGCCTACATAAACTACCGATTTGAGAAAGAAATAGTAATTAGAGAAAAATGATTCCGTGGATAAATATCCATTGACTTTTGGACCTGCAACTCTGCAAGGGCACGTGAAATGAAGACAAAAAAAAAAAAAAATAATCATTAAAAAGACAAGAACATGGAAGGTTTCCAAGCCTGTCTCTTTTTTTTTATT